GTGAAGGCGCCCGCCTGCGGGAAGACGCTGACCGAGGCGGGGAGGGTCACGCCGGCCGGCACGCTGCTGAGCGGGAGGGGCAGGGAGGCGCTGTAGGTCATGGAGCCCAAGGGCGCCCCGACCGGCCCGCTGGCCGCCAAGCCCAGCGCCGGCGACCCGGTGCGCATCTGGTCCAGGGTCGGCCTGCCCTGCTCGCCCGCACCGAACGGGTTGGTGGGAGATGGAGCGCTGAGACCTGCGGAACGAGAGTGGGTGGGGGGCTTGGAGCGCGCCAAGGGACACAGCCCTAAATGGGGGGGGGGGCAAGATCTGGGGTCTCAGAAATAGGGAAGAAGAGTAAGAGACCCGGCGGGGACAAGGGGTGTCCTACCTGTCAGGAAGGGGTTTCGGGTCTTTGCAGCCTGGGGCACCTTGACTAATGAATCAAGGTTGACCAAAGAGGAGGCTGAAGGGCCCAGGAAAGACTCTGGAGTGCGGCATGTTCGGGCCTCCTTGCTGGGCTGGGTTAGCGCTTCCCCCAGTACACCCAGGTCAAACGCATCTGGCTCCTTGGTGCCATTTTGCTTGGAACTGGGGATGGGGTCTCCAAACAGGTCCAGCTCTGGAACAGAGATGATAGAACTCATTGGTAGGGAGAGGGAATGGTCACTCTGTGGGAAGAAGAGGAGGGAGGTCACCTCTGGGCAGGCCCCTCATTCCCCAGAGCTGTATCATCCCCTGCCTCCTGCTTACCCACAGGACTGCTGGGCTTCCCCGAGGGCAGGGCCTGGGCACACTCCGGCCCTTCCTTGGTCTCTGTGGATACTGGAGGTTTGGCAAATAGATCAAAGGGCGAGGTACCTAGAGCTGGCCAAGGAGGAAGAGGGAGAGGAGGTAGGATGGCAAAAAAGGCAGGCACTGGTCTGACCCCTTTTGGGCAAGCAGCCCTCTTAACACAGAAAGTGCTGCCCCTTGGCACTGGAGGGAGGGGACCCAGAAGTCCTCCAGCCCCTCACCCACACCCTCTGGCCCTCTGCTTACCAGGTGCATTGGAGGTCTCCACTGAGGCCCCCCAAGGGTCAGCCCCAGTATCGGGGAGTTTGTGCTGGGGGGAGTTCTGTGCCCAGAGGTCTGTGGAAGGGGGTCTGGCGGGCAGTACTGGGGTCCGGCCCCAGGGCTCAGAGGAGGAGAGCATAGGGGGCAAGTCCCAGGGCTGGCTTCTGGACAGGGCACTTCCTGAGGGCAGAGGAGACCAGGGGTCTGCAGAAGGCCCCCAGGAGGAGCCACTGGGTTCTGTGTTCGGCCTGAGACCTAAAACAGGAACAGCACAGACATGACCTCAGGCCCACTTTTACACCCAGTCCAGGGCCCTTCCCAGTTACCCAGACCAAGTTGGGAGGCCAAGGGTCCCATCTCATAGATGGGATGCTGACTCAGGACCCACCCAGCAAGCTGGAGCCCATATTGAGCGAGTTATGCCAGGAGCCTGGGCTCCCAGGCACAGGCAGCTCAGGCCACCTTCCCAGTCAGGGATGGGCTGGGACAGGAAAGGCAGAGTGACCAGGGTAAATGAGAGAACATCTCTGAGTTTTCCATGAGCTGGGCTCTTCAGACGTGCTCTCCCATCCCTCACTAAAACCCCGTGTCCCAGAGGAAGCTGAGGCTCAGAGGGGTGAGTGACTTGCCCAGTGGTCCTCAGCTATGGGGAGGAAGGGGCTTTCTGGGGCCAGCCTGGGAACCTCTTGCAGCCCTGCATGCCCACCTGGGATGTCCCATGGGTCAGCGGAGCAGTGAGTGGAGGGCAGGGCCGGGGTGGGTGCGAAGATGTCTGCCAAGTCCAGGATGGAGGACTGTGGAGTGGGAGAGGCAGCCATGGCTCAGAAGTGGGCAAGACCAGAGGAGGGCGGTCCCTGGCCTGTCTCCCTCAGTCCAGCTCATTCTCTCCTTTATTCATTTCACAAACATCTACTAATGATCCCTCACCTCTGTACAGTGCTTTGCAATTTATAAAATGTTTCCTCATCCATTTAGTGCCTGATGTTCATAACAACCCTGTGCAGTAGGTAGTGTGGGTAGTGGTGTGCCCATTTTACAGATACACCAGCTGAGGCCCAGAGACGGGAGAAGCTTTGCATGAAGTCACACAGTTGGGGAGAGGCAGAGCTGGGATAAAACCCGGGCCTGCCTGACCCCTTCCTCAGTTGTCGTGATCCCCAGCCCATTGGTGGTAAAAGACAGATTTTATGACAAGTCTGCCTTCCTAAGTCAGAAACTAGCCACCGTGAACATGGGCAGAAAGGGGACAGAGACACCCTAGGGGTAGCATGCACTGCTTTGGAGGGTGGCTTTGTTCCCAGGAGCTACCCACTCCCCTAATTCTTGGAAAGTATGTGTATGAGCCCAAGATATTGTCAGTACCATGTGCCTGAGCCCGCCCTCCCAGCTGCATCCACAGCATCACATAATCCTAGAACACCAGAGGTGGAGCTGTCCAACAAAAGGGGGAAACTGAGGCCACAACAGTGATGTGCCCCAAGTCAGAGTGGCAGCAAATCTAGAACCCAAATCCCGGGGCCTCAGATCAGGATTCTTTGTATCCCACTTCGAGCTCAGTCATCATCCCGTGCGGGCTGGGTCTGGGGGCTACCACACCCCTCCACTCTCATTTTCATTGCATAAATGCTTTAACAGTGCTTACTGTATATGAAGCGTGGTTCTAAACTCTACAAATATCAGCTCAGTTCATGTCGCAGGCTCAGTCAGCCCAGGCAGTGCAGCCTCTGCCTACCTGGCTGGTTTTCAGGTTCTCCTCCTCCTTTCTCTCTTCTCTCTCCGGCTGTTTGTCTTGCCAACGGCGGACCGCGGCCCCAGCGCCATTGGCCACGGGGGAGTCATCTCCCCGCCAGGACCTCACCTCCTGCAGAAGGCAAGAGGAGTGAGGACAGCATGAGCAGCCCAGGCTGGACTTGAGGGGACTGGAGCTGGAGTTGAGAGGAGTGCAGTGAGAGTGAGGTTAGGCAGAGCAGGACCACTGGGCAAAGCGGGAGGAGCCTGGTTAGTGCCTATGTAGCATCTGCACCTGCACCTGCACCTGCACCTGCACCTGCACCTGCACCAGCACCAGCACAGGAGGCTCGGCCCACTACCTTCTCATGCTCCTGCCGGCTCAGACACAGAGCCAGCTGCAGCTGCAGATCCTCATCCCTGTGGGAGGCTGGGGGGACCGGCTGTGAGGGAGGAAGAGAGGGGTGAATGGGGCCCAGTGCTCCCTGCACTCCCAGGCCACATAGCCCTGCAGGGGGAAAGGGATGGAGAGAGAAGTGCCCACCCTGAGTGGGTGTGAGCGGCCGGCTCCCAGGCAGCAAGGTGGGTGTGGCCTTCTCCCTGCCTGGATCTGCGACCAGTTTCAAAATCCAGAAGATTGATCCTTTTCTTCTGGGTTCCCTGAGTGCCCCCAAGCCCAACCCCAGCTGCTTCCCACCCAGTCTACCTGGATCCAGAGAGGTGATGGCAGAGCGGATGGTATCGGGGGGGTTTCCCTGTCCCCCCAAAAGGACAGCTGATGGCAGGGGTTGTGGGGTCAGCATATCTCTGTGTCTCCCAGCACACTCACTGCTTCCCTTCCACGGGACCGCAGCAGGCACGGAAGACACACACGCACCCTCAACCCACTAGGTACTCACTGCCCTTTCTAGGCCCAGCCAGAGGGGACTGGAGGCAGGGAGGCAGTCCCTGCCAGAACAATCGCAGGGACAAGGACAGGCCCTGTGCTGTCCTTAGGAGCCGGACTGGGGTCTTGGGGCCCAGAGTAGAGGAGCCTAGGAGCCAAGGGTGTGGGGCATCGGGGTACCCTTCCTTCCTCCTCCTAGTCCCCCCCCCATGCCACCCCCAGCCCAGCTGTGGGGCCTCCCAGGCTGCCCCAGGGGCCTCACCTTCTCAGCCTCCTCACGGCTCATGGCCAGGGCCAGCTGGAGCTGCAGCTCCTCTTCTCCTGACGTCTGGGGCCGGGCCTGCTCCAAGTCGGAGGTGTAGCAGGGGGATGAGGAGGAGGCTGCAACGACCAGCAGCGGCCACCGTGGCTTCTGTAACCACAGAGGTGCCCGCGCCGGTCCCCTCCCCTTACCCCCATCAGAAAGTTAAGGCTCAGAGAGGGAAACTGAGGAGGAAGGAAACGACCGGCAGTTGGGGGCTCCAGGGGGCCAGGCGGCGTGCCTGGCCCTTTGTGTACGGTTCCCCATTCCACCCCCGCTAGAGACTCCGATCCCTCCTTTACAGATGTGCCACTAGCTCAGAGTTGCCTGGCCGGGCTCCTGATGTAAGAGTCAAAGCCAGGTCCTCTCCTCCAGCTCCTGCACTCTTCCTGTTGGGGGGGGGTCCCATCCTGCTGGGGTCCAGTGAGGAGGGAGGTTTCAAGGGTCCCGTCAGTCAAGGCCACGTCGTCAAGGGCTTTACGAAAGGAGGGCCCTCCTGAGTACCCCTCAGACCCAGGAAGCCCACAGCGGGGTGGGGAGCAGAGTCAAGAACGGCTCTGCAGCCACCCCCGTTTTCAAGGACAGTGCCCTCGAGCAGGGGGTCATGAGGAATGCCACTGATGGAACGCCCTGTGCCATGTGTCTGGGCGCAAGGCCAAGGGCATCCCTGGGCCTGGTCTCACTTAATCCTCACATCCAACAACTGGAGTAGATGAGATTTTCCCTACTTCACAGATGAGGAAGCAGAGATTCAGAGAGGGGGCCGTCTAGATCACTCAGCCAGAAGGGGGCACAGTACGGCACGCTACCCGGTCGGGGCGGCCGCCACACCGTCCCACCCTGGACAGCTCCCGGCCGCGCTCTGCGCTAACTTGCGGGCCACCTGCCGTGCCCGGCGGCTGTCTTCCGCGCCCCATTCCTCATCTCTGTGAATGCTCGTGACATCCCTCGGAACTCGGGCTGCCCCCCAGCCCCAGCCCCGGGGGCTCACTCACAGTTGTAGGAGGACGGGGACCCGCGAGAGCGGCTGAGGCCCAGCTGCCCACTGCCGATGCCCGTGCCCTCCAGCGCCATGCGCTCCTTGGTCTTGAGGGCGTGGGTCCGCTCCTGCCGGAGGCGCTCCTCGTCCTTGAGCAGGGCCATCACCTGCTTGACCTTCTCGCGCACGTTGACGCCCTGGTCCTTGCCGTCGCGGTCGATGTACTGGAAGTCCTTGAGCGTCTGGATGGTGTAGAGGTTCTCGCGGCACTGGTGGGCCACCCGCTCGGAGCCCGTCTTGAGCAGGTAGTCCAGCAGCGTCAGCGCCTTATACACGTGCCGCCAGTTCTTGCCACTGTCGTTGAGCCGCCGCCACAGCATGCCCATGACCTCGGCGAAGGCCACTGTGTTGAAGGTCAGGTCGGCGATCTCCGACATGAGCGAGCTGGGCGGGCCCCACGGGTCATTGCTGGTGGCCTCGCGCACCTTGATCTCCGCCTCCGAGTAGTTGTGCACGATGTTCTTCACCTGGCGCCGCAGCGCGGAGGTCGTCATGGCTGGGGACTTGGAGATGGGCGGCCCCCGCCCCAGCCGGAGGTGGAGGGCCGAGGGCCACCGTCTCGAGGTCACGGTCTCCAGAGATGGGCCGCCGTGCTCTCAGCAGGGCGGCTGCGTCCTTGGGTTCCACATGGGTCTGAGGAAGAGAGGGACGGAACTCAGGGACGATGGCCCGCCTCGGCGGCCACTCGGCCACAGACTGAAGGCCTGGCCAGGGGTCCCCGCGGCCAGGAGCCACCTCTGGCAGGCACTTCTAGCTTCGCGTGCTCATTGCTCATCACAGCCGCCCTACAAAGTTGAGATTATTATTCCCTCCATTCACAGACCAGGAAGTGAGGTTCATGGAGCTGGTGTGAGCCAGGAACTACCCTGGCAGACACCCCCCGCCCAGCCCTTGCCCTGAGCGAGAGACACAAAAGTCACCCCAGGAATGCCTGCCCGCCCTGTTCCTGCCTGGCTATGGCTTCCATTTCTGCCAGGATCTATTCTAGGACCTATCCTTCCCAGCTCCTCGGTCCCCAATCTCCTCATTTCTCATGGCTTTAGTTTGTACACCTTAATTCATTCCATGCCTAGTTCCTGGGGCCTTCTCTGAGCCCAACACTGTGCCAGGCACAGAGCATAAGTCCTGGCCCACACACATCCAGTTGCAGGGGCACAGACGATTCAGTCGAGCATGGGCATGCCGAGGAGCACCCAAGCTAGGAAAATCAGGGGGGACTTCCCAGTGGAGGTGACGGCCGGAGATCTGAAGGTAAGGTGAAGCTGCAGGGTGAGGAAGGGTAGCTCAGAGGGAATACTTGAGCTGGGCCAGAAGCCCAGAGAGGAGTACGAGGCAGGAAGGTGGGCCTGCCTCTCAAAGAGACCTAGCCACCGCCACCCCGTGGTACACACAAGAGCACTGAGGTCAGGGAGGGGACGTGGCCTGCCCACAGTGGCAGGGCGTATAGGCGACAGAGCTAGGACTAACCCCTAGGTCTCTAGAAGACGAATCCGATACTTATTGTCAGGGTTAGTGGTTTTGTAATGAATTCATCTGATTGCTTTATTGTTTCAGTTCCATCTCAGGCAGAATGTAAGCTCCCTGAAGGCAAGGCTGGCCTGAGCGCCCCAAACCTGAGGCCCTGGGTGCGTGGCAGACCCCTGATACCCCGGCTGAGGGGGAAACAGGTTCAGCCTGCTGCCCTCCCCCCAGCTTCAGGACCAGGCCATCTGGGGAAAGCAAACCCAGGCTCAAGAAAAAGGTTCTCCCAGGGCCCTACCAGAAACCCAAGCCAGAATCCCCCTGCCACAGCCATTCCTCTGGTATGGGTACAAACACACACACACACACACACACACACACACACACACACACACAGGCTGGACCCGCAGGGCGTCCACACCACCTGTGAACCCCCACCAATACCACCACCCATGGAGATTGCACCTCTCAGCTCTACCCTGGGACTTGGCAGGAGTCAGAGGCCGCCTGTCCTGCCCTCCCCCCATCTGGACTTTCCCTCCACCCAGCCCTGCCAACCTTGGGCTCAGTTCAAAGCAGCCAGCAGGCCTTGGCAGGCTTCTTCAGGACCCAGGTGCCTGGGAGAGCTTGGGCCCAGAGGAGGGGATCCCGTGGGACAGCGGGGGGCACGGAATGCTGACTGAAAGGCTGCCTACCTTCTGTCTGCTGTCTGTCCGTCCAGCCTGGCAGGGCTTCTGTGGGGATGCCACAGCTAACGCTTGTTTAATTCCTGGCCTCCCCCTCACTAGTGACTCAGACCCGTCTTTACCTCCCCAACCGGTGGGCTGGAGGGTGGCAAGAGTCAAGATGAGAAATAATTGTGCCCCACAGCCCGCCCTGAGTGCACACCCCTCCCAGTGCTGGCCAGGGAAACCCGCAGAACCAGTCAGGCATCCTGACTCCACCAGCAGTCCTACCAGAGCCCGGCTTCCCCAGCCCTCCAGCCCAGCCTGGGGTACTGGGAGGGGCCCTCAGCATGGACCCTGCAGGCCTGCCTGGACTCTCCTTCTAGAAGGGGGGAACGGAGGACCCTTCTCTGCGCACCTTTGCTGGAGCTGGGGGGAAGGGAGGGATCGGAAGCCCCAGGGAGGTGCCTGGACTTCCCTCCCCTAAAGTTAGAAGGGACAAAGTGGGGAGGAAGAGGGGGGCAGGGTGAGGCCCAGGGAGGACGGAAGGGAGGGAGGAGGAAAGGAAGGAGCACGGAGGGTGCAGCTGGGAGCCCTGCCAGCAGTGTTACAAGCCCAGCGTTTTACCGAACACAATATGCCCAGAAATAAAAGGGAGTGAAACAGAAACCCGGCAGCCTGTGGCGGCCGAGGCAGGCCCGGGCGGGCGGGTATGGAATTACTGCAGTGACCTTGAGCCAGACCCTGTCAGGTGGAGGGAAGGACACTGAGAAGGCAGAGCCTGAGAGGCTTGTGCAGGGGTGGGGTGGGGGGGGTTGGAGGCAGGAGGGTAGGGAGCAGAGTGGGGAGGGGCAGGCTGGGGGGTGCAGGCCATGGGGCACAAGTCTCTGCTTTCTCCTTTATATAGGGTATCAGGGGCGACTTTACAGGGGAGAGCGGGGTTCTTTCCTCAGGACTGGGGAAACTGTCAGGGCTAAGGAAGTAGAGGGCATCTCCAGAGCGGGGATTCAGGGAGAAGGAAAGAGCTCAGATATGTTGAGTCACGTGCAAGAGTTTGTCCAGAGAGAGAGAGAGTGTGTGTGTGTGTGTGTGTGTGTGTGTGTGTGTGTGTCCCACCAGCCCGGAGCCCCTGCCCCGCACCAGGTCAGCAGGAGCCATGGCGCCAGGGTTGGGGGGGGCCCGAGGGGGTAGGGGTGAGTAACTCTTAGCCGGTGGAAGGACGGGTGTGAGCTAGAGCTCTAAGCTTAAGTCCGCCCTGAGGTGGCTGTGTCCTGGGACCCTGGACAGGGGTGGGGGCTGCCCCGAGGCTGGAGGTCCACCAGGGGCTAAGGAGGAGGGGTGGGCAGAGGAGAATGGGAGTCTGTGGGAAGTGCCACCAAAGATGCTGGCCCAGCATGGGGAGCCAGCCCTTGAGTCCTGCTTCCTGGGGGCTGCAGGGGGGGAGGAGGGAGGGGCAGCAGGCAGGAAGCCTCCAGGATCCTCTCTGGCCCTGTCCTCCTCACCCCTCTCCCTGGGACCTGGAGGAAGACAAAGCCCCAAGCCTTCCATGAGAGGCACCACCCCTGCCAGGGAGGGGCCAGCTTACCTCTGGTGCAGGCTCCCTTGGCCCCAGCCCCGGGACCACGAGCAGCCTCTGCAGTGACCTTCCGACCCGCGCGGCAGGGGGACAGCGCAGCCTCGAGAGCGTCCCCAGAGCCATCCACCATGGACCCTCGTCCTGGCGATGCGCGCCCCCCCAGGAGGTGCAGACCCCTTGGAAGGGTGGCGGCAGGGTCCCCAGAACGGGCTGCAGCTCTGCCTCTTGGCCGCCGGTGTTTTAGACACCCAGCCGGCAGGCGGCCCTCGGAGGAAAGTTGCTCAGCCGGCCGGGCAGGTCCGCCTCAGCAGTAACAGGACACAGGAGGACGCGCAGGGCTTGTTAACCCCTTCCTGCTGGCTGGGCAGGCGGCACCTCCGAGGCGGGAGGCCGGCCCCCTGGCTGTCCCCAGGATGTACAGATCCAGAGCCAGGACTGGTAGCCCACTCCCACCCGGCAGGGAGTTAACCCTTCCCCCGCCTCAGCAGGAAATAGGGTGGGGGGGTGGGGGGCTCCAACACCCACCCCACTCCTACCCATCTCCGCTGGGCTAGGAAGACCATTCCCGGGGGAGGCTGGCCCTTTGGTGGATTTGTTTTCTGTGGGCTCCAGCTGGCCCCCTCAGCCACCCTGAAGGGGGCATCCAGGCTCCAGGCATAGCCCCTCTCGGCCTGAGGAACAGAGTGACCTGATCTCTCCAAAACTCCTCCCACTCTCACCTGGAGGATGCTGAGGCCCATGAGGCTTTTATCAGAAGCACCAAATGCAAAACCAAGCAGGTGGGAGGCCTCGGCCACCTCCCCATCTCCCGCCCCCACCTCTGCTCCACCAGCACATAAGGCAGTGAGGCCAGCCTTAGCCAAGTTGCTCTTCAAACTCTGGCAGCCTGGAGCCCACTCAGCACAGGAGGCCCGGCCCTGAATGATGATTTTGGCCAGAAAGCCATTCAGGTGCTGAGTCGAGCTGACAGCCGACTTTCCTTTCCAGGAGCCACCTCTTGTCCACTTCCCATTTCTCTGAGCAAGGGGGCGAACGTAATGTCCAGAGGCTGTTTTTAAGGCAAAAAGTGGCTCAAGGGGGCCACCTGGCCTGACAGGAGGGGATGAGACAGGCTGCTGAGGACACGGGGATCTGGCCTCTAGGGTCTGACAGTGCGGTAAGCATGATCCCCAGGGACTGGGACTGGGCCCTTGGCCGAGTGGAACTGGGAGGATCTCGGGGAGCCAGGCCCCATGTGGTCCAGTTCTCCTGGTCTCACACTTGGGTCATGCTGGGTGATGACACTTGGGGAAGACCTGGTTCCAGGAAGCGTGACCCCAAAAGTGTGGGCCAAGAAAGGTCAGAGGCAGGGATTTCAAGGGGTGATGCTGTCTGTCCTGTCACCTGATTCATTCCTTGTCCTGGTAGCAACCTGCTCTTCTGCTCATCATGCCACACATCACCTTCCAGGTGTGTTTCTCCTTCCTCCTGTTGGATGGCTCCAGGAACTAAGAGGAGGGGAATCTGAGGCAGGTGGGACACGGGAGACCCTGGCCGTGAGCTGCCCTCATCAAGATCCGACATTCAAGACATGAAGGCCTAAAGGAAGTGGTGGGAACCCAAAAGTTCTTTATTGATTTGTTTGTGAACCAGTTTCCCAGAAGACCCTGGGGCACATGAGTCAGGTGCAAAGACGCAAAGTCTCCTCGACATCCTTTACAGGTCTGAGCTCGTCAGCCAGGACCATCAGGTCAGTCATTAGGGTGTCCAGCAGCCCGTAGACCTGGAAGAATGGGGTGAAATCACAGGCAGAGGGTTGCTCTGTGGAAGGCACCTCCACAAGAGAGCACCCAGCATGCAATGAGGGTAGACAGGTCTACACCAGGACGGGAGAGCGGCAGCAGGGGTAAAACCAAACCTGCGGAGATTCTGTAGAACTTTTGTTTTTGCAGACAGTTTTATTTTTCAAACCGTCTGGGGGAAGCAATCCTGCACCAGGCCCTTGGGACATATGGGGGCCCAAGAGCCTGGAGTGGTTAAAGGGGTAATTCCAGGGAATGGCGCCCATTTACCCCCGGGGGTGGTCCAGCTCCACCCCCGCCACCCAGAGGCCAGCTTTACTTCTGGTAAGATCACAGATCCTCAGACTGAAATGTCTCCAGGACCGTGCCCTCCCGTGGGACTGGGCCACATGAGCCTTGGCAAGCTGATTCTTCATTGCAGAGAGCCCTCGGATTCCTTTCTAAACCCCATCAACCTTCAGAAATCGCCATGATGTCACCAGCAACAAATGGAGCTTCTGTTCAAACTCAGTCCAGAGCGTTACCCCAATGTACATGACGCAATCCCATCTAGCCGTCCACACTGGAGGCCGACAAAGCACCGCCATTAGACACAGTGACAATCGAGGGTGGCTTTGTGGACCTCTCCTCCGAAACAATAACAATGAACAGAACACAATACCTGGGCGAATCTCTAAGGACTTGCTGCTTAAGAACATACCAGCATCAAGTCTCTCCAGTGCGTCACAACGCTTACGCTTGCTGGAAATTCACTCTATGACGCGCTGTTCCCCCAAGGGACACCTCTGCCGAGGTGCACCTCACGCAGAGAGGAAGTGGGAGCAGCAGAAAGGGAGGGGCGTCTGCTCGGTTCCTCTAGTGTGTTTTCCTAACTGCAGCCAGAGTGATCTTCCAAGTCGGACTGTGTCACTCCTCCATTCAAACCCTCGTGGACTTCTCATTTCACTCAGGAAAACCCCAAGTCCACACAATGGCCTGCAGAGCCTCACCTGACCTGTGACTTGTTCCCTCTCAGTGGCCTCTCTGTCCTCTGTCCTCCCGGCCCCCTCCCTCCCCTACGTTAGCTGCCCCCTCTGCCTAGGGCACTCTTCTCCATGGCCACAGGGCCACCTCTCACCTCCCTTCGAGTCTGTTAGATGTCACCTTCTCAGGGAGGCTCCCCCGCCGCACCCTGGCCTTTCCCACCCCCGGCTCTGGGTTATCTCTCTCTCTCTCGCAGAGTGCTTGCCACCTAACGTACAGGGTGTGTTGCTTATGCACGAGGTCTGTCTCGCACACCGGGATGCCCTTCACAAGGGCAGCTCTGCTTCCATCTTCCAGCACGGACACACTAGGTGTTGACTGTTCGTGGAATAAATGGGATGGATGAGGGAGGGGAGGAAGGCCCGAAGAGCAGGTGTGAGCAAGGGCAGGGCTGGGCGCAGGGCTCGTGCCCTCACCTCCGTGTGCAGTCTCTTGGTGTACTTCTCCATGACCAGGGGATCTGTGGGCTCCTGAAAAGTGGCTGTGCCCTCAGGGGCAGGTTCTTCCAAGGAAAGCCCGTCCCGACTTGAAGATTTCATTGGTTTCTTGTCATCCTTTGCCTTGTGCTTCTTGCTGTTTGAACGGTCCTGCTTGGAGAGACGGAGACACACACAGCCTTCAGGAACTCCCGGGGGAGGTCCATGGCTTTCTCAAGAGCAGCTCACTGGGAGAGCCAGGGCGTCATGCTAGAGCGAGCGCCCACCTGCCGCAGCCCTTCCGATGCCTCCCCTGCCCCCCACAAGGCCCACCCTCTATGTCCCGGCATGCCTCTTTCCCTAGCAACTTGGCTGCTTTTCTGTCCTCTTTGATTCCCAGCTGCTTCTTTTCCTGGGCTACCCCTTTCCGGTCCTCCTTCCCAAATTTCGTGGTGGTTACTTTCACTTCCGTGCCAAGAGGAGACTTTCGATCTAAGGGAGGTGAGTGGAAGACAGCGTGACCTGGCCTCCCAGGCCCCACAGGGAGGGTCGGAAAAGCCAAGGGTCCTGAGCCCTTCATGCTCCCAGACAGGAGCAGAGCCCCCAGTTCAGGTGCATGACCTGCAGGGCAGGGGCGGGAGGCCTGGTTCCAGTCCCAGCCCCACCACCCACAGCCCCATCTATGGCATGGGCAAGTCGTTCAACCTCTCTGGGACTCCACCTGTAAAACCAGGGGACTGAATGAAGGTGGTCACTCAGGTCGCTTCTAGGTCCCAAATCCTGGCAGTAGACGGGAGGGTGACAGGGCCTACTCCATGGATCAACCTGATGGAGGTCCCACCAGAAGGGTGCCCATGGCCGAGGCGTGGGAGGGGTGGGGAGGCTCCGCGGGGCGGGGCTGCAGTCTGACCTTGCTCTTCTGGAATGTCCAAATAGATGGTCTCCTTCTCGGGCAGGCCCAGCAGAGCCCTCAGCCACAGGGAATGGCTCACCAGGCCATCGATCATATCCCGCCACAGCTGCAAACTAGAGAGCAAAGCCCACTGGAGAAAGCCATCACCGCTCATCTGCCCTTGACCGTGCGGAGGCATGGGTCCTTCCCTTCTAAGACGGGTGCCCGGGGCTACCACGGAGGGGGCCGGCAGCCTCACCAGCACCTGTGCCCGCGCTCAGATAGGGATCTGGCTTCCCTCAGGCGGCAGCTGGGGAAGAGTGGCCGGGGACGACGGTTAGGTCAGTCTAGGCTCCAGCTTGAGACCCTGGCTAGACTTGGGTCTGGCCCGAAGGGAGCCAGGGGACCTTGTGTGAGATTTCCTGAGGGCCCCAGCGAAGGCGCCCAGCAAGTTCCACAGGAGAAGTGAGGCTTTCCATGGCCTCACTCTGCCCCCCTCCTCTTTGCCCTCCGGCTCGTCCTCGGCCCAGTCCTCTGCTAAATGAGAAGGAAGTGGGCGAGAGGGTGGGAGAGAGACGGGGCGCTCGCTCTGTTCTACCTGCTCCGGAGAGGGGCAGGCGGCTAGGGGGGCTGCTGTGGCAGGTGCCAGAGCGGGGAGTGTCTGCGGCACCTTTCTGGGCTCGAGGGGAGTCCTAGGACTGCGTGCCCAGAACCACAGTGGGGAGGTGGGGCCCGCTCTGCCGGGGGGCGGGGGGAGAGGGACACTTACCATGTCTGGTGCAGGAAGTCGGACTGCAGGGGCCTCTGCTCCTGGCACAGCTCCAGGGCTGCTTTGTTGAGCCTGATGAGGGCGTCCTCCCTCTGGTTCTCCTCAGGGAGTGTCATCACTGCCTGGCAGGGTTGTAGGTACCATGGGCAACCGTCCCGCCCAGGACACCAAGGGTCCCTGTGTCCTCTAGTGACGGGCCTGGTGCGGTGAGGACAGACGGCCAGGAGCAGATGCAGCCATGGAGCGCGGACCTCCCCCAGAACTATGCACCCATGAATCCCTTCTCCAAGGTGTGCCTGGGTCAGAGAGGGCACCCCCCCCTCCCCACTGCACCATGGTGGCCTAGGCACCCGAGCCAAAAAGAGATGACCCAAGAGACTGCTTCCTCTGGGTCCTCAGAAGAGTTTCTTTGCCCGTGGGGGCCAGGGGGACTGCCGGGGCCCTCCCTCAGTGCCCTGGCACCTACCCCCGGACTGCCATCCTGCCCACCCCTGCCGAGTCAGGGGAGCACCTTTCTGAAATCCTCCAAGCAGAGATTCCACTCGGTGGGGGGAAGGCCATGTAGCTCCCAGGGGCTCTTGGTGTTCCCCAGGTCTGGGCTCTCCTCCACCAGGATCTCCTCCATAATGCTCTTCCAATGAGAAGCCTGGGCCCCCGCTCCAGGCTTCTGGGGCCCAAAAGCATCTCGGGCCTCATTCTCCTGCCGGATCGGTTGCGATTCTGGGACTGGGCTCTTAAAGTGTGCTGAAGGCTCCCTGCTCACAGAGGGCTTCTCCAAGGAGGCTGGCCGGGGCGCGGCAGCCCGGGCCCCGGGGCTGAGGTGCTCATCCTTGCCGGGCCTGGCCTCCTCGGCCTTGGGGGGCACGTTCAAGAACTGGCGCCACAGCCCGTTCAGGCTTTGCACCACTTGGTGCTGGTAATGCAGCTGCAGCAAAGGCAAGAGAAGTCACGTGGCGGGGAGGTGGGGGGGAGGGGTCCCCAGAGTCCCAGCGAGCCTGCTCCGGTTCCCCCACTCCCTCAAGAGCAAGATGGAGGCTACAGGGAAGAAGCCAGCAGGAGCCACTGCGGCCAGAGCAGCTCCTCACTTCCCCTGCCTCCTGAGTATCTCCAGCTTAGAGCTTTTTTTGCATTGCATTTCCACGTAAGATGGGGGTTTTTTTGTTTGTTTTTTTAAAGATTTTATTTATTTATTTGACAGATACACAGCGAGAGAGGGAACACAAGCAAGGGGAGCGGGAGAGGGAGAAGCAGGCTTCCCGCTGAGCAGGGAGCCCGATGCGGGGCTCGATCCCAGGACCCTGGGACCATGACCTGAGCCGAAGGCAGACGCCTAACGACTGAGCCACCCAAGTGCCCCGTAAGATGGGGTTTGAATGAAGGAGTTTGTGAAGCTCTATTCTGACCAAGCGTCCACTTACTTGCTAAGTTATCTTGGGCAAATTACTTAACCGCCCTGGGCCTCAGTTTCCTCACTGTAAAGCAAGGATATAAATAGTCCCCCCGGTCAGCGGGCTGCTGTGAGGAGAAAGTGAGTTACTCATGGAAGATGCTCAGAGCGGGCCCAGGCGCGTGTGAGGGCGCAGGGGCCGGCGCTGGCCTGTACCCGAGGATTCCTATGGTGGAACAAGTCCTCCTCAGTGAGATAGGCGTCCACAGGGGACTGTACACGCTCCAGGGTCAGGATCCCACTCAGCAGCTCCTGCAGCACGCTCTCCACGATGGTGACTGCTTCGTGGGCAGCCAGCTTGAGCTGGGGAAAGGAAGATGGGACAAGATGGTGGCTCAGCCTTTCGAAACCCATGCTGCATCCTCGAGGGAAGCCAGAGCCCTCAGGACTTTGTGCCTTCCTAGGGGTTGAGCTCCTGCCACCGTCTGTCTGTCATCTGTCTGTCTCTCTCTCTCACACACACAGACACACACACACACACACACACTCCTGTTCTCAGACTCAAACCGCTGGGTAACCCCAAATATCCTTGTTCTCTAAAAGAGACTGAAAGGATGTAGTGGGGAAGCCAGTTCCAGAGATGTTGCTCCCTCGTGGGGCCAGAAGGTCACACAGTCAGCACTTCCCCCAGGTTAGGAAGAAGGGCAAGGAGCAAGGACCACACGGTTTGGGCCCTGTTGTGGACGTGGCTTGGCCACACCGTTGGGTGTCACAGAAGAGTGGAGGGGCGTCTCATGTGAGAGGTAGGTCCTACCGTCAGCAAGTAAAGCAGACGTGGCACTTGTCCACATGACCCGTGCTCACGGCGGGCTGAGCCCCAGCTAACGGAGTTGGCTCGTATCTGGGGGCCACAGCAGAAAGAGGCGGCTTTCTCCAGAGCGCCTGGAAGCACCGCCCCAGCTGGTCAGCTCCGGAACTGACAACGACACGGGGCCCAGTGCCCACGTCACTCTCTCTCTGGGTGTCAGCCCCACTAGTTAGGTTTTTCTCTCTGGTTTTGAAGGCTTGCCAGTTAAATCGGACCCCAAGGGATAGAGTCAGACAACAGTGAACAAACGGTACTTCTAGTAGTTCTGGGGGCCTCCAAGCTATTCCTCCTCTCCGTGCCCACCCACCTTTTACATCACAAAGCCCTCGGGAGTGTGTGTTGAGCAAAAACAGCTGCCTGCCCGTGAAACACTCCCCTCTGGGGCTGGGAGAAGCAGGATCCCCGTAGGCAGCGCCAAGAAGAAGTCCAGGGGAACCTATCTGCTGTCCATGGCGCCAAGGTCCTGGGTCGCTTACCTTCAGTAACTTCCTTTCTTCCCTAAAAATGTCCTGGGTCAGGGAGACTGCGTAGAGATTGACCTGCAGGGGAGCCCCTCCTAATAGGGTGGGGTGGGTTCCAAACTCCCAATATTCCCTGAAGATGCCAGCATGCAAAGATTTGAAGAAGAAGGTAAAGGTTTTCGTTTCTCCAGGCAGAATCACACCTGAGAGGGACCGAGACAGGAGTTTTCACCACACAGGAGCTAGCTGGGCCCAAGCCTGCACGTACACAGTTCACTGAGCCCTAAGCCTAGGCATGTACAGTTACCTGAGCCCCAGGCAGGGTGACGGACCATCCCAGTTTGCCCAGAACTGAGGGGTCTCCTGGGACATGGGACTTTCGACTTTCCATGCAAAAATTGGGGAAGTCCCAGGCAAACAGGGATGGGGGGCGGTCATCCTAGCCTCGGGCCTGAACACAGAGGTAACTGAACCCCGAGAAAATTTCTGCTCTCTGGTGACTCATCTCTTGGTGTTCTCAAGAGTTTGACTGTTCCCCCAGCTGACAAGAACAGTTAGGAGAGGACACAGTTCACAGAAGAAAGGAGGCAGGGGAGAGCGGCTCAACCTTACAGGAGCATCAGCCAAACTGTGGCTCCTCACAGGCGGGGAGCGGGGCAGCCTGGTACCTTCCCGATTGTTGAAATAAAACCGCTGCATCCTGTTTCTCTTCAGGCCTTGGAAGGAGTCCAGCTGGGAGCGCCGCCGCCAGACGTACCAAATGGCCACTGTGCCGTTATTGACCGTGGTCAGTTCCGAAGATGTCTTCTCCCCTTCTAGAGTTTCAAAGGTCAAGCGGACAGCAATTCCAACGTGCT